CACAGTCATGAGTACTGTCTTGTGGGTCAAGCTGGGCAGTAAGGGCGGCAGACGAGTCCCTTGCGAAAAAGGGTTTCGGGGTTTCAGGGTTCAGGGGCTGCAGCCCCTGCTCAAAAAAAGGGGTTTTGGGTTTAAGGGTGTAGGGGTTTTGGGGTTTAAGGGTTTACGGAACAGTGCCCGGTGATTGTACAGTTCTATTACAGTGAACCCCGGAAAGTTGGAACATGGATTTAGGATGATCAGTGCGGGGATTCCCGATACTTTACCTTAAGGGCATGAGGATGATGATGTTGCAACTTCTGGCTTCTACTGTACTGATTTGCATTACGGAAATCACGCAAGAAGAGGTTCAGAGTCTAGGATTCTAGGGTTTAGGATTGCGCAGTTGTCTTTGCCTAAAAGCCTCGGAAGTTTGCGGCTTTGCATTTGGGGTTTGGGTTTGCAGCATTTGGACTTGTGTCTTTGTGGGGGTAAGTGAACTTGTTTGTGTCTCTTCTGGGTGGGACACAAGATGTGAAAGCTTGGTTGAGATATTTGAGATGTAAGTTCTGAGGCTGGGGGGCTGTTGGAGCCCACCTATCAGCATTTACGGTTTTAAAGATGCTTTAAGGTTTAGTTCATGTTGTAGCACGGTTTCCGTTGAATCGAGAAGGCAACCGTTGGTAAAACGTACTCCGTCTTTTGACACTTCGGGGTTGGTGGCCTAGAACCGCGGACTGTGGCCAGGATTGTCTTGAGGTCTTTGCGTTCCACTCCTCCTCCTGAACCCTAAACCCTGGTTTTCTGGACACCTATTCTGGCGAAGGGAAAAGAGGTAATAAAACGCCCTAAACTCTAACCCCACACCAGAAACCATTGAAGCCCCCGAGTAAAGCCTCTTCGTATGATCGATGCTGCTTGGGTTTGTACTCCTTGGAAAACCCGATACGCTCACCGCGCAAGCAAACCGGAATCCCTGCCTTCGCAGGTCCAAGGCCAAAGTGGCCTCCGCGACCTCCTTGTGAAAGAGTGCCGGGCAGCCGAAGCCGCCAAGGACGGACGATGGTGATCGTAACGGGTTTTGAGTGTCAACCTGTCATCTGAAGCGAGAATGGTTGGCTCATCTCTTAGGTTTTAGACATTGCGGTATGGTTGAATGTCCCGACGCCCCATTTTGCCAACATGGGTGGGGCTTCGAACGGTGGGCTAGTTTGCATCGCAGTTGGCTGGGGTGCAAGACCAAAATGAAGAGAAGCCATGGCCCCACACTGAATACTATCTGCTCCTCAGCCAAGCGCGTCTACTCATGAAGGTCGACTCGCTGCACTTTTGTGCAGATCTTCTGATGGTATTTACATTGTTTTGCTGACTTCGAGGAGGCTTCGAGTATGCTAATCTCCAGCCTTGAAGTCTTTAAGACCCTGCCCGGATGCGGACAACAAATTCATAGCAACATCACTTGTGGAAGCAGCAGAAAGAAGTAGCTGTACGTACGGGTGCAGGCAGTCGCGCGCAAAACACATGACTTGTCTCCTCCCCGAAGTCGGCAACTTGCACAGGCGAGGCAGGAGTTGATTCGGGAGGAGCTCAGAGCTGCAAACCGTGATGCTGCGCAGCTGGCAGCCACTTCGACGGGCAGTGGCTATATTAACTATATTACCTTATATTACCTTTTTGTATTATGATACATATAATACTCTTCTTCTTATTATGTTATAACATATTGTATCACATTCTTCACATTCTTCTAGTATTGCATCATATCAGGAAGCAGGACGGATCTTCATCTCGGGGCTGGGTAGACCTAGAACCTTCGGTTGCTTGCACTTGCCAGAACTGGAAGCCGGTGCCGAACTGTATCCCTTGCAGATGTTTGCGCTTGCCTGCAGCGCAGAATCGTTTTGGAGACGTTTGCACACAGAAATTTCTGCAGGTGGCCTAAACCCTAAATCTCAATTAAACCGTAAGTTCGAAGTCCAACGGAGAGACCTCATCTGGGCTCTGCCGAGTTGTGAGAGCGTAACCTAAACCGCAAACCCCAAACCCCAAACCCCAAACCCTGAACCCTAAACCCTAAACCCCAAACCCCAAAACCCAAAACCCTAAACCCTAAACCCCAGACCCTGCACCCTACACCCTTAAATTTTAAGCCTTAAGCTAGGGCCAAGGCCCTCGGTAGGCGGCGCTTGTCGCTGTGCTGTGCATCCGAGGCCGGGCTGCCGGAGCTCCTGGAGAGACGCAGAGCCGAGGTGGGTTAGGGGGGTTAGGGGGGGTTTTGGGTTTAGGGTTTTGGGTTTAGGGTTCAGGGTTTCGGGTTTCAAAGGGTTTCGGGTTTAGGGTTTTGGGTTTAGGGTTTTGGGTTTAGGGTTTTGGGTTAAGGGTTTAGGGTTTTGGGTTTAGGGTTTAGGGTTCTGGGTTTCGGGTTTAGGGTTTAGAGTTGTAAGGTTTTGCGGTTCTTCGGTTTCGCGTTGTAGGATCTTGGGGTTGAGGGGTTTCGAGTTGTAGGTTTTGGGGGTTCATGGGTTCATCGTTTTCGCATTATAAAGGTTTTTTTTTGGTTTAGGGGTTTTATGGTTTAAGGGTGTCCGGCTGCAGGGTAAAGTTAAGGGGGTTCATGGCTTTCGGGTTTGCGCTGTACGGTTTTAGTGTTTATGGCTCTTAGGGTTTTAGGGTTTGGGGTTGGAGGTTTGTGGGGTTCATGGTTTTCGGGTTTAGGTCTGTGCGGCTGTAGGGTTTACGAATTTGAGTGTTTTAGGGTTTGGGGTTGTAGGGTTTTGACGTTTATGGTTTTCGAGTTTCGCGCTGTAGGGTTGTGTGACTTATTTATAGGGATTTTATGGTTCTTGGGTTTGGGGTTGCAGGGTGTTGGGTTCATGGTTTTCGGGTTTCGCGTTGTAGGGTTTTAGGGTTTAGGGATTTTATGGTTTCAGGGTGTCCGGTTGTAGGGTTCTGTGGTTCATGGTTTTCGGGTTTGTGCTGTACGGTTTTAGGGTTTAAGACTTGTTGTTTAGGGTTTGAGGGTTTGGGGTTGTAGGGTTTTGCGGTTCACAGGTTTCGCGTTGTAGGATTTTAGGGTTTAAGGGTTTTAGGGCTTCGGGTTGTAGGTTTTGGGGGTTCATGGTTTTCGCGTTATAAGGGTTTTAGGGTTTAGATGGTTTTAGGGTGTCCGGCTGCAGGGTTTTTGGGTTCATTGTTTTCGGGTTTGCGCTGTAGGGCTTTAGGGCTTTAGGGTTTGGGGTTGTGGGGGTTTTAGGCTTAGTTCCCCAATACCCAACCTTTAAACTTTTTGGGTTCTGATACTTTAGTAGTAATCTGAAAATTAAACCTTTGATTTCCCTGGCTTGTTGGGTTCACGGTTTTCGGGTCGGTTTGGCGTTGTGGGGTTCGTTGTAGGGTTTCGGGGTTCATGGTTTTCGCGCTGTCGGAGTTTAGAGTTTAGGGGTTTTATGGTTTTTAGGGTGCCCGGCTGCAGGGAAAAGTTAAGGGGTTCATGGTTTTCGGGTTTGCGCTGTACGGTTTTAGGGTTTATGGATCTTAGGGTTTTAGGGTTTGGGGTTGGAGGGTTGCGGGGTTCATTGTTTTCGGGTTTAGGTCTGTGCGGCTGTAGGGTTTACGGATTTGAGTGTTTCAGGGTTTGGGGTTGTAGGGTTTTGACGTTAATGGTTTTCGAGTTTCGCCCTGTAGAGTTTTAGGGTTTAAGATTTGTTGTTTAGGGTTTGAGGGTGTTGTAAGGTTTTGCGGTTCATGGGTTTCGCGTTGTAGGATTTTAGGGTTTAAGGGTTTTAGGGCTTCGTGTTGTAGGTTTGGGGGGTTCATGGTTTTCGCGTTATAAGGGTTTTAGGGTTTAGGGGTTTTATGGTTTAAGGGTGTCCGACTGCAGGGTTTCAGGGTTCATTGTTTTCGGGTTTGCGCTGTAGGGCTTTAGGGTTCGGGGTTGTGGGGGTTTTAGGGTTCATGGTTTTCGGGTCGGTTTAGCATTGTGGGGTTCGTCGTAGCCTTTGGGGTTCATGGTTTTCGCGCTGTCGGGTTTTAGGGTTTAGGGGTTTTATGGTTTAAGGGTGTCCGGCTGCAGGGTAAAGTTAACGAGTTCATGGTTTTCGGGTTTGCGCTTTGCGGATAAGTGTTTATGCATCTTAGGGCCTTAGGGTTTTAGGATTTGGGGTTGCAGGGTTTTGGTTCATGGTTTTCGGGTTTCGGGCTGTGCGGCTTCATAAGGTTCAGGGATTTGAGTGTTTCAGGGTTTGGGGTTGTAGGGTTTTGACGTTAATGGTTTTCGAGTTTCGCGCTGTAGAGTTTTAGGGTTTAAGATTTGTTGTTTAGGGTTTGAGGGTTTGGGGTCGTAGGGTTTTGCGTTTTAAGAGTTTCGGATTGTAAGATTTTGTGGGTTATGGCTTTCGCGCTATCGAGTTTGCGGGTTTGGGGATTTGGCGGTTTCGGACTGGCTTTAGCACTGTAGGTTTTAGCGTTTGGGGCTGCGGAAGTTCCGACGCGGGTTTAGGGCCTAGGGCCGAGGGCCTCGATTCTACGCGGTTTGTAGTCGGATCCAGAGTTCACGATGTTGTTGGGGCCTAGGCTTCAGGACTTCGAGGTCAGAGGTGGAGTTTCAGCCAACTTGACGCGGACTAGCACTGTGTGCTTTGCTGTGTTGCCATGCAGTGTCGGTGCAGCGTGAGCAATTTGTAAGCTGTTGGAATTCAACCGATTCAGCTGACGTTGCAGTGGGCTCATGGGAGGAAGTGTCGGTTGTTGGTAGCTCTTTGCAGAACTGAAACATGGAGGATTCTGATGAGGGTCGCAAAGGCTGAGAGCATTTGGTTTCTGATGATTTCGGGTTAGGGCCGGTTAGAAAAACAGCTACAGCAGTAACCCTGCTTCTAGCATCCCGCGTCTGCCGTTCCCGGGCTCGCCTGACGTTTCACTCGCAGACGGAGCCCGAGCGGTGCCGCGAAGGTCCAGCAGCGGCAGCGCCATGCCGCTGAACTCCACTGCAAAGGCATGGCTTCAAAGGCGGGGTAGGAGACTGTCTGGAATGTGTTACAGGGACTACTATAAGGGGCCTTAAGGGACTATCATAGGGATCCATTCCCCCATTCCCTACTAAGCACCAGACAGAAGAGTGCTGCAGACTTATCAAATCACCGTAACCGTCATTGTCAGCAGGCCCGCATCCAAGAGCTCCAGGAGCGGCCGTGGTCGAGCTTGCATGGACATGTCAGCTTTCGTCCAACTTGCAGTTCCGGGTTGTCCTTTTTGGTTAAAGGATCTTCCAGAACTCAACAGCCCACGACTTCCGAGTCTGAATAAATTTTACGCCGTGGGAACGCCTGACTTTGGGCCCATTCCTTGCAGAACCCTGCGCCCAGAAGGCCCGCTAAATCCGTTCCTAACCTCAGGTGTCCACGATCTGGCCTTCATCTTGCATTGGACATGCCCCGAATCACGGTATTATAGGGAGCTGACCCAGCATCACAGAGCAACGGCAGACCACGTTGCTGACCAGCCACTAGAGGCCTCTGAAGCTCGCCTGACGCACTTTCTGCTAGTCCTGTCGCCCTAAGCCTTGAACCCTTACATCCTGCAAGCCCGCCAACCTTCAGAGCGTGCGGGCGAGGCGGGAGGGCGTGGCATGTGAATGCTGGCACATTTTGTGGGGGTGTAAGTGGCTTGTTGTGGGCTTTCGGGTTGTTCAGTTTCGTTGTGTGGGTTTTGCTTCTGGGGGGTTCCCCTGTAGAGCATGGAGCTTAAACTAGAGAAGGCATTTCCGGCGGAACGCACACAACAAGTCGTAAAGCCACCCAGAAAGTCACCGCAATTTTCCACCGCAAAGAAGCCGCCAAACCGATCCGCTAAACCCTAAACCCTAAACCCTAAACCCCTAAACCGATCCGCGTTCCCAGCCTCAGGAGGAGTTGTCCGAGGCCGAGTCCGAGACTTTAAGACTGAAGAAGGCCGCGGAGCTCTGGCCGGCGAGGCAGAGCTCCAAGAAGGCCCGGAAGTGATGTAGGGGCCTCAAAAATTACCTCTATTAGTGTAGGGGTTCCTTATTGGCATTATAATTACCTATATTAGTTTAGGGGCTCCTTATTGGCATTGTAATAATTACTTATAATATTTTAGACAATTGTAGTTTAATGGGCCCTAAAACCCTATTCTAATTATTAAGGCCCCTATGTTAGGAGGTGAGGACACGGACAGGACTACTGAAAAAGGGTTGCCAAAAGGGCTGTGAGGAGGCTGTACTATATGGCTTACTACTACTCACCCACATCGTATAGCCTTCTCATAACCTTTTTGGTAATACTACAAGTAAGAGGATTACTATAAAAAGGGTTGCGGTTACGACAAGGACTGTCAAAAGGGTTCTATGAAGGATTCTCGCAGTTCTACATAGAGTTAAGGGTTTAGTAGGGTCAACGAAGATAATGCATGCCCCCTCCTCGGTCAACAGGGTAGAGGGGTGGAAGGTCTTGCTAGACTTGAGCCCAGTCTGAACAAAGCTCGGGGTCAAAATCATGTCTAGTAACTTATCTGGTCCTGGGAATTCCGTCGCCGATTCCGCTGATCTGTTGACCACGCATATGAACTTCAATGTTTTGTGTCGTTGCGGGCACGGAGCTTTGCCAGAGCAAAACCAGAGGGGCAGGCATCTAGACCTTGCAGGGGAGCAGGAAGAAACCCTCATCCGAGCCCTCCGATCCCCTAAACCCTAAACCCTAAACCCTAAACCCTAAACCCAAACCCTAAACCCCTGGCAGGGCCCTAGCAGCTTCCCGTTTTCAGAATGCAACCGCCGAGCTCGCCTTGAAGTCTCTGCCTTTGACGACCGCAACCCGGGCACACTACAAATATAATATGTCGTAATAGACTATAGTATACCCTGCTGTACTACATACACTGATCATACTATGCTATGCTATACTCTACTCCATGCAATTCCTGTTGCCTTCAACACTCAGGCCCCAATCCTACCCTCCAGCAGCCCCTAGCCCAAGACCAGATAGCCCCAACCCGCAACTTCATAGCCGGGGAGCGGAAGACTCCGAAGACCAAAAGGCCTGGAATCCCAAACTTACAACTGCACTAAGCCCTAGACCCTACAGCCTAAACCCTAAAGCCCTAAGCATGTGGGTGGGGGTTAAGGGTTTAGGGGTTTGTTATCGATGAAATCATACTGCTAGAGGCTCTTCAGAGAGACCTCGTTCAAAAAGGGGAACAAACCCTAAGCATGTGAAGGCAGAGCTGGCAGAGGCCCAGCAGGAACTGGAAGCCGTCGTGGCGAAACATTCCAACGCCAAGGTGCTTCGGCATAAAAGACCTTAAGAGCTTATGTAACGTTATGCTGTAGTAACTTATACCTATGCTCTATACTAGCCCGATGCTTCCAAGGACCTTATAGTTAGGGCCCTAGACCGCTTCAGGACTCAGTAATAAGGTCCCTAGAAGCACAGGGAGAGGGGCGGCAGTGATCTTGTTGTCCCGGGATCCACAGCTCGATGTTGGGCGACACATTGTAAGCAATCGGAGCGCATTCCCTGCTCATTCCGGGAATGTTATCGTGTGGCGACTTGCTGCAACCGAATCGAGGCTTGGATTCAACAGATCTACCACGGCCATCTCAACCGGGAGAGCATGGAGCGGGCCGTGCACTTGCGGGGTCATCACATCCCAAACCTGGAGATGCAGTCGGCTGAACTCGAGCAGCAGCTGGCCGATCACCGCGAGCGCTACGAGGCGCAGTGCCTCGCACAGCAGCTCGAGGTGGAAACGCTGAAAAGGAGCTTGGCCTTGCGCACGACAAGGCTCCGGGCAAAAGAGCAGGCCGGGGGAGAGTAAAGCTTGCATGGCAGAGCCGAGGCAGCGCCGGCCGTGCCTGAATCCCTGAATCCCTGCAGGAAAGCGCCTGGCTCCAAACACGTGCTGAGGCCCTGGAGCAGGAGTTGACCCATCTTCACAGCCTGCGAGCTGGCCATCCCCAGAGCCTCACTGCCATGACTTCCACGCCGCACTCTGCCTCTGCCCGGTCTCCGCAGTCCCACCCTGGCCATCTCAGATCGGATAGTCCCGAGTCCTTTGCCTCGGCGACTCGAGTCTCAGCTAATGCCGAACAGAAAAGCGGAGCTCGGCTCTCTTTGACCGGAGAAGGAGTATCGCGACCGATTTGAACTTGGCCACTGGGCTTTAAATTGTTTATAGGGCTGATAGGTCCTTGCCCAGAGAAGCCTTTGTTGCCGGTCGAATGCCGCTTGCCCAAGTGACACGAAGAGCGTAGCTCGCACCCCCCAGGCCAGGGCCTGCAGGCGGCTTGCGCTGCAGGGTCTTACGTCAGCCCAAGATCGCCTCCCAAGTTCTACTCAATTGCTTTGGAACCCCAGAAGGACTAGAACTTCTCGCCTTATTACCCCTCCAGCTTGCACCCCGCATGCAGATTTAGAGCTGCAAATTCGGGAGTCTAAACCCTAAACCCTAAGTCCTCGCGGGGCACCCTGCCTTGAAGGAAGGACCCTCGCCCAACCCTGCTTTCAGCCCCTGAAAGCCTGACTCCCCAAAAGCCCAGAAGCCCCAGTCCCCGGAAAACCCTAGACCCCTTAACTAAGGAATAGACCTTAAACCATAGGGGCCTCAATATTATGACTTAAGGTATATACCTTAATTTAAAGGGGCCTTAATATCATGATTTAAGGTCTATTCCTTAAGTAAGGGGTATTGGGCTCTCTGGGTCCCTGCTTCTCAAGCTCTCGCCATGTCGAAGCGCATCAGCTTTGAGGATGCGGCTGAGGTCCGCGCGGGGCAATTGCTGGAATGTTCCCCGAGAGCCCACTTAACTAAGGAATATACCTTAAACCATAATACTAAGGCCCCTATAGTTTAAGGTATATTCCTTAATTAAGGGGTATTGGGATCTGTGGGTTTGTGACTGCTCCGGTTCGCGTTTTTTGTTCAGCAGTCTGGGACTTGCGGTCACTTGCGCGCCACAGTATCGCAGGACGTTGTTGTCAGCTGCAGACCCTACACCCTCAGCATTAATCCCTAAACCCCTAAGCCCTACACTCTCAGCATTCATCCCTAAGCCCTATCGAAAAACCCTAAACCCTAAACTCGGACCTTCTTGCCATGCCTGCCTTCTGCGAGTGTGTGAGTCGAAGCCCGAAAAAGACTCCGCCGCAGAGCGCAGGACAATGAAGCGGGGCCGCGGAAGGCCGACTTCTTCGCTGCCCGGCGCACGATGCAGCGCCCTGCCGAAGTGGATTTCATGGAAGTGGCTGGTGAGTGAGTGAGTTTGTATGTGCGCATGTGCGTGCGCGTGTGTGCGTGTTTGTGTGTGTGTGTGGGTGTGTTTGTCTTTTTGGAGTTGGTGTGTTTCTTACCAGGATGCAGATGGCGATATTATGGAGCCCCGAAGCAAAATGGTAATGACAAGGTGATTGTGTGGTGGATGCGGGTGCAGGGATCGCGATACAGAGGACGACGTCCGCCCATGCAGCATGGTCCTCAGTTTTTTTTTACTGTTATGGTCATGATGATGATGCGTGTGTTGTTGATGGTGATGCTGCGGATGATGACAACGATGACGACGATGCCGACGGGTTTTTGGTTGCACCTTCTGAACCCTCTTTTCGTCATCTTTTTGAGCCCTACACGGCCTACACTTCAAGACGAATCTGATATATCTTCATAAGGCGTGTCGCCCTCACACTGTGCTTTTTCGTTTTACAAACTTCGTGGCAACCGCGGCGTCACAGCCATGGTCGTTGTCGTAGTGACAGCAGCTGTAGCAGCATCAATACCACCAGCATGGGCAGCATGGGCATATCATTTTGCTTGGTGACAGGCCCTTTGCACATTTGCTCCCTGATTTTCGGGGTGGTTTATTGACCGCCCTAAACCCGAAACCCCTAAACCCTAAAGCCTAAACCCTACGTTTCATGCTCAGACAGCAAGGCCGAATGCTCATCCGCGGGGCTCCCTGCTTCAAGTCAAGCCTGCAAACTCAGAAGGCCTTGTCGGGACCTTTTCTGTGCTGGCTGACTTCTCAGGCTTTGAGCTAATCTTTATAGGGGTTAGGGTTTAAGGGACTAATTAAGCCGAGTTCACCTTCCAGGTGTTATGCTTTCTTCCGGTGTGGTTTTGCTGCTTGCTTGTTGCTGTCCAGACTGGTGCCGAAACGGCCGTGTGTTGGTGCTATACAGACATGCACATGGCCACCTGCATACATACATGCATGCATGCATACATACCCATGTACACAAATACATACAGACATACATCTGCTAAACAACTTGCATGACGGGCGGCATCATAGTTGACAACGTGCATACGAGCTGTATCAATACAGCCGGTCAAGCATGTTGAGTTGTCGCTCGCCCATCTCGGAAGCACGTGACATGGAGATTGCATTCCTTATCCTTTTCCCCCAGCTGGTTGCCTCAGTCCGCAGGCAAAAGAGCTACTAGAACCAGCGTGGATGCAGCCACTGCAGATTCCCCAGGCAGATTGTAGGCAGGCTCGACAAGAGATGGATCTACGCAGTCGATTCCTGCTTCGATACTTCGGCTTCTGCTTCTTACCATGAGCCCTTGAAATGGAAGTTTCTGGATCTGTCTCCGTCGCAAACACGCAGTCATCGCGCACTGTTCCGGGTGTACCTACATACCCTTTCGATTCCCATGCTGTTGCTCCTTGTCTGTTTTCATAGCTCAATTCCCATAATCATAGCCGTCGCCATGCTAGGCCGTCGGTCCTGAGGTGATACAGGGGCTTCAGTTGATCTCACAAAGGCTGTACGCTGGAAGGGCTTTGTCAAAATCTTCAAAACCGTGAGCCAGCAGGCTCAAATCCAGACCTCTTACTTCAACCTGCAGCCATTCATGCGCTAGGCGCATGATGGTAGCTGCAAGCAAGTAGACGACAGGCTATTCCCGTGGCCGTGAAATGAGTACTAGAAAACGAGGACCGGAGGAACCAGAGTAGACCAGATTGACGGACCGCTAACACGACCAGTGATCCAGCACGGGGCTTTCCTGAGGGCAACCCGGATTCCATGTTCGGCGCGCTGAGGACCCGGGGGACACGGAGTGGGTGGGGTTAATGCCTATCAGGATTTCGATAGGGCCTTTGTTCTTTCAGTTGAGGGTTGTTTGGCAGGCCTTCTCGATTCGACCCTGCGAAGCCGGTGGCGGGCTTTGGCTTATCAAATCCGAAGTAAGAAATGCCCTGACAGACGTGGTCATGCGGTCAACGTTGGCATCTCATCGATCATGATCGAGCAGGACCTCGTTGAGGCCACTTCGGCTTTGTGCGAATATCGCGTACACGATTCCGCGCCGCGACCACCGCCGCCACCCCGAACCAGTACCAGCACCAGTTGCATCCTCATCCTTACATCATTGTCGTCCTTCTCCCCTGTCCTCATTGTCAACCTGATCCCTGCATCACAGGTCCTAAGTCCATGCAGCTTGGGCTCCTACTGTCATTAACTCAAGCTGTAATGTAGGGGCCTAAAGCATTACCTAGCTGTCATGTAGGGGCCTCAAAAATTACCTTTACTATTTTGGACGATTCCTTATTACAATTATCGTATATTGGGCTTAAATGAAACCCTATTCTAATTCTGAAGGCCCCTAGATTACGCTAGTTCGGAATTGGGCTAGCATCGCTTCGGGCTCTGTGATCCTCCTGATGATTTCAATGGCCCATGAAAATCGATTCGGCGGCCCTGCCTACGGATGCACAGCAACACCGAAGGCAGTGGATCCTTTCGACTTGGATAGCCGATGGCAGAACTTTAAAATTTTTGGCCCTGTATATTTGGTCTGTTATAAACAAGTTGAACTTTTTCGGAGCCGGTTATAGAGTTAGAGTCGAAGGCACATCTAAGCGCAGCACAACTGCCTCGAAGACCGCCGAAGAAAGTGTTCATGCAGTATTGCGGAGCCCCCTCCCAGGTGCCCATGTTCAAGAACTGTAGCGCCAGCTTCATCAGCCGCCTTGCGCAGGTCACCGCAGGTAAATGGATATTGCGATTTGCTTCTGGATTTCCAGGGCTACACCGGGTTACAGATTTCTTTTGACAGTTCTGTCCCGCTTACATTCTTCCTCTCTTCTGGTAGGCCTTGTCAATACGACGGACAGAGGCTGTAATAGACGCGGCTTGTTGAAGCTATGAAGGTTTCTGTCACTTCCGACTTGGACAAGCTGCTCGCAGGATGCCTCCGAAACAACCCGAGCGTTTGGCTTTGGGCAGGCTGTGCACGAGGCAAGAGCGTCACGTGTTTACCGTGTGGAAACTCCGCGAGACAGCGCATGCAGCAGAGGGCGGCCCTCCCCAGGTGGGCGATGCCGGTAAGAGCATGGTTCTCGTTCTTCGCGGGAGCCTGGTGGTCAAAAAGAAGGCTCGTCGGAGGTCTCTTGTTGAGAGTGTGCATGTTTACCCAGACTTCTTTGCGATATTGCCCGTTGCTCTGTGAAGCCTTTCTTGATCGTGCTTGTGTGCACCAGGGGGAGGAGCTGCTGCAGCTTGGCCATGCCATGTCTGGGGGGTTTAGATGGTCTTAGATTGTTGGTTCTTGGGAGATTGCAGCACTCTATACATGTGGCCGCCGAACGAAGTGCGTTTTGCGAATCTATCTATTCAGTTCTGGTTGCCGCATTAGCACACAGCGATTCAGCAGGCAATCCGACCCCGCATCGTACAGTAGGTTCGTCCTAGCCAGGCGGGAGGCTCAAACAATTAGCACACGTCTTTATGTTTGCAGTATATTTTGTTTATACATATCAAGTGTGTGTGTGTGTATAAATGTTTGCGATCAGGGCTTTGAGTTTTCCGGCATCCTCGGGGCAAGAAGCCCAAGGAGCACCTCCACATGCCCACAATGTGGAGGAGGAGGGGACAGGCCGAACCCTGATCATGTGCATGTATGTATGTATGTATGTATGTATGTATGTATGTATGTATGTATGTATTTGTGCATACATATGCGATCACACATCAAAACAACGAGCTCCCTCGAGAGAAGGGGGCGGTTGTGCTGATTACAAGGAGATGCACGCATGCGGAGCAACAAGACGAACATGAAGCACCCAGCAAACACACATGCACAGCAACACAGAAAACATTGAACGTACCTACGAACAGTGGTAAGGAGGTAGGTAGGTTCATAGGTAGGTAGGTGGGTGGGTAGGTACTTAGGTAGGCGGGTAGTTAGGTGTGCATTTGCTTAGCCCTCCCACAACATCTACATGGGTTGTGCAAGGGATCAGAGGGTTAAGAGACCACTACACCGCGCCGCTCCCAACCATGCCCATGCAAATGCCTGCTTCTGCTGTGCGCATAGACACATACATCAATGCACGGGTAGCTAGAGAGTAAGCAAACGGAAGGTCAGTGATGAAGCCTAGATGGTTGTAGTTGGATGCAGTCGGCGTCTGGGTTCCTATTCCCTAAACCCTGGGCACCCTAAACCCTCTTCCCGAAACCCTAAACCCCAAAGCCCTAAAGCCCAAACCATCGCGTGCCCACGACATCTGAGGACGCTGGAGCAAGGCTCGCACTACGGAGAAACCATGCTCCTGAGCCTTGAGCAGGCGCCTGGTTTCTTTTAGGGTTTAGGGCCCAGGGTTTCAGGGTTTCGGGTTTAGGGTATGGTTCGAGTCATCGATGTGGCGGGCAGTTTGGAGGCGCTTTAGAGAGGCCTCGTTCAAACAAAGGGTATGGTTTGAGGTTTCGCAAACGAGACAATGCGGGCGTGCCGGGGAGAATTCAGAGCAGTTCAGAACTCACATCCTTGCTTCTTCTGTACCATGCAAGACATGCTGTACGGGGCTCCTCCTCGAAGACCTTGCGCACGCGCCTGAAGAAGGTGTGGCGAGTTTCCCTGGTGGCATACTCCTCCAGCAGCTTGTCTCCATGGTTCGTCGCGGCGAAAGCGCCAGGGAGACTGCTGATGCAAGAAGCCGATACCTCTGCAACTGCAGGAACGACTCTTGAGGTCTTTCTGGAAATGCGTGCGAAAGCTGCAGTCAAGATGCTATGTGTCCTGCAAGTCTTGAGCCGTGTGTTGAAATGCACTTGTTTGTGGCTCCACACAAGATGAACACACAATTCCTCCACGCCACGTCTAGGGTTCCTGTTGGGCTGTTACTTAAGAAGGAGCAGGTACAGGTGAGCGGAGGCGACAATACGTGTGACTGTTGAATGCAGTGTCCCCCTGGGCAGGTGCCGCGCCCAAAGAGAACCCAGAACCATTGACTGAAGCATCCAGTTCTAAACTGGAGCACTTTCCGAGCTTATGCGAATTGCTGCTTCAAGTCCTGGGCCAGAAACTCTAAGTACACGAAACGCCATATCAAATACCACCTGCTGTAGGCTTGTCCGAGAGGGCGTTCCCCTTAGACCCTTAGCCCTAAAGCCTTGCCTGGAGCGAAGGGTTGATCCTGACGGCTTCTCGACATTGCGAGATATGCCCACGAAGCCTACAAAAGCCTTCATGAAACTGTGTGAGACCTCTACAAATAAGCCTTTCAATGCTTATAACACCGTATAGCGGGCCCTATAAAACAGCATGAAGCCCCTTACGAAACCTTGGTTTCCCTTTCCTTTATCTATGTTCTATGAGCCCCCCGCAGCGGAGCCATAGAAAGTGAAGCCCAGGTATGGTTTGCGAGATTCGTCGGGAGTCCTTTCGGCGACTGCTTGAGGACCTCTGTGAAATCAGCTTAGGGGGTTTGTGGAAAAAAAAGGGGTCAGGGTATGGGAAATGTAGGGTTTGAGGATCTAGGGCTTGAGGATGCAGGATTTGAAGGTAGAGGACAGAGAGCTTGAGGAGGGCATATGGGGTTTGAGGGTTTAGGGATCTCCAAGGCTCTTGCAGGCTGGATGCAAAAGGGTTTGGAGATCTTGGGTTTGGGGAAGTAGGTGCATCATCCAGGGCTTGAGCATGCAAGAAGTGTACCAAGTGTGAAATCATGTCAAATCACTAAGCCCTGAACCCTAAGTCCCTGACCTCGAACCATATGCCTCGCCTGGAGTGTCCGAGTGTGAGAGCCGAAACCCTAAGTCTCAGGGTTTGGGGTTTAGGGTTTGGGATTCAGCAGGGTGGATCCTGGAGGTTTTGTACTTTTTCGTTCGTCTCTATGGGTTTGCTGGTGGTACGCTTCCAGTCCCCGGTTTCCTTGTTTGCTTCATGTTATGCTTTGTGTTCAGTTGTTGGTTCATATTTTTCGTATGGTTTTGCTTACTTTTGGTGGCTTAGTTTACAGCTCAGGGGGGGACGGGTTTTGCGTGATATGTTCATGTTTAGCAAGAACTCCCGCCCCCCGACGCTCCGTCGCTTTCCAGCCTTTTCTGAGGTTTTGGTGTGGAGGGTTGCTTAATCCCTAGAGCCGGAAGCCTTCAACCATTCGATCTCTCCGTAGGCTATGTGGTATGTATATATATATATATATATATGTGGTATATATGCAAACACCATCACACGCCCCAATTCCCAATCTTTGCGTCGTAAAGCTTCTTAAAGCCCCGCCTGCTTATTCATGCGGCCCTTGTTGATAAACTGATAAACCGCACTGCGGGGGATGGCATTGATGCTTCTGAGAAATCCCTTGAAGCTGTCACATCCGTCCACATCACCCCTGGGCTACAGCTTCTCATTGGAGCATGAGCTCGCATCACACTTCAACGGTTTTAGGGTTTGGACAATGCGGCGTTTGAGGATAAAGGGTTGAGGGGTTTAAGGCTTGCATTGCAGTCCCTGCTCAAATAAGGCATTTAAGGTTTGAGGTTCTGAGTGTTGGTATTACGGATTTGAGGAGCTTTGGTTTGGAAATTTGGGGGTTGGAATTGTTTTGGAGCTTTCAAGGTCGGGAGTTTTTGGGAGTTCGTGATTAAGGGTGCGAAGGTTTAGGGTTTATTTTCGAGGAACAGAGTTTGAGGACTCGGGGTTTGAGGTCTTTGCGTTTCAGCACTTAGGGTGTGGGGATTTAGGGTGTGGGGAGGTTTGAGATCTTTGGGTTTGCGGCGCAAGGGTTTGAGGCTTTACGTTTTGAGGAGGGTTTAAGGATTTAGGGTTTGAGGATTTGGGGTTTGAGGGTTCAGGGTTTGAGGGTTTAAGGTTTGAAGGTATAGGGTTTGAGGACGTCAGGTTTTAGTCTTTCGGTGTCTGGTTTGAGCATTTACGGCTCAGGTTTGCTGCTTTTGGGTGGAGGCGTGTGGAAGTCGCACAAAGCGTAGTAGTAAACTTCAACTCTGGCATGACTTTTTTTCTTCCCTCCCTGTCTCTCTCTCTCTCTGCGTTTTCCCGTGCCAAGCCCCGTTCCCACTGGTCTGGTCCAGCCAATCTGCCTTGACGTCGCGCAGGAACCGAGAAACCTTTGACTTACGGCTGAAAGCGAAGCCCTACTGCCTTTGCCACTTACAAAGCTTCGAACCAACCGTATACAACTTCACCAAATCCTAAACATCCGTACAAGGTTCCACTAAAAACCAAACCCCTAAACCCTAAACCCTAAACGTCGAAACCCCTAAACCCCTAAACCCCTAAACCCTAAACCCTAAACCCTGAACCCCCCAGTCCGACTCCTGGCGCCAGGATTTCCCGGCTGAGGCCCAGCAGTACGAGAGTCTCGGGCTGACTTTATGGAGGTCTTTCTGGAGTGCAATGTAGTATAATATAGTATAATATAGTAGAGT